GCTATAGTCTCGACGCGGGAGCCTCGAACTTTCAAGCCAGATCCCGCAGTTGCTCGTCCGCACCCAACCGCGAATCGAACGATGAGGGTCTTAGCCATCGATGTTGGGATGAAGTACAATCAGATTCGATGCTTCACTAAACGTGGCATAGAGGTCAAAGTTGTCCCGTGGGACTATGATTTTTTATCGCCATCAGAAGTTTATGATGGTCTGTTCATCTCGAACGGACCTGGAGATCCTACAATGGTAAAGGTTACCATTGAACGCTTACGTCGTGCGCTCGAGCGTGATACCCCTATTTTTGGTATCTGCCTTGGGCATCAGCTCTTGGCGTTGGCAGCTGGAGCAAAGACATCAAAGATGAAGTACGGAAACCGTGGCCATAACATTCCTTGCACAGATTCTTTCGATAGCCGGTGCTATATCACCAGTCAAAATCATGGTTTCCAAGTAGAGGTCGACAGTCTTCCCTCCAATTGGAAGGAGTTGTTCCGGAACGCCAACGATGGTAGTAATGAAGGAATCTACTGTGTCGATAAACCATTCTTCTCGGTTCAATTCCATCCAGAGTCAACACCTGGTCCGAGGGACACAGAATTCCTCTTTGACACTTTCTTAAGCAACGTCGAAGATACCATCAAGAACAATCAGGCTCGCCCCATCTCTCTGGGCAACCCTGATCGCCCAGTCGGATCTACTCGTGTCAATGTAACCAAAGTATTGGTACTTGGTTCTGGAGGTCTGTCCATAGGCCAAGCCGGCGAGTTCGATTACTCTGGCTCTCAAGCTCTGAAAGCTCTGAAAGAGGAAGGCATCTTTACCATTCTGATAAATCCCAACATTGCAACTATTGCCACGTCCAAAGGTCTCGCAGATAAGGTTTACTTCCTTCCGGTGACTGCCGAATTCGTTCGCAAAGTCATTCAGTACGAAAAGCCCGATGGGATCTATGTGACGTTTGGTGGTCAAACTGCCCTTAATGTCGGCATTAAACTTAGAGATGAGTTCGAAGGTCTCGGGGTAAAGGTACTAGGAACGCCAATTCGTACTTTGATCGAAACAGAAGACCGCCAACGCTTTGCCGACGCCATGCTTCAGATTGGAGAAAAGTGTGCTGAATCTGCCACTGCAACAACACCGGACGACGCCGTAATCGCAGCCAACAAGATTGGGTTCCCTGTTATCGTGCGGGCGGCTTATGCATTGGGTGGCCTAGGATCCGGGTTTGCACAAAACGAGGCAGAGCTGCGTGAGCTTTGTGGGAAGGCTTTCGCAACAAGTCCACAAGTACTCGTCGAGCGGAGTATGAAAGGATGGAAGGAGATTGAGTACGAAGTTGTACGGGATTGCAGAGATAATTGCATCGTTGTGTGCAATATGGAGGTTCGACATCTGTTGCTTCATATGATCATAATAACT